CCAGCATCGATAAATGTCACCTGCCCCCGGTCACAGTCCAGACAAATCCGGATCCTGCGGGGGGGGCTCAGGTTTAGAGGGCTTACCGGGGGGGTGAGAGCCCAGAACTGAGCCCCCCTTTTCTGCACAGCCCAGATCCCCCCCTCAGGGCTACGGCTGATTCCTCCCTTCCTGTTCACAGACTCTCTGGCCACCCCTACAGCACAGTATTGCCCACCCCCCACCTCCACCTCCCAGCAATGTCTCCCTGAGGTGAATCCCTCACGGCCTAGCACACAGGGCACAGAGTCAAATCTCCCCGGGTTGCCGGGCAGTCGCTGCCATGCACGTTCCCATCTCACACATTTCTGATCCCCAGACAGGACTAGCTGGGGATTTGCCGTGTCTGGATCCAGAGTCACCGTCACTGGGGAGAGAGAATCAGCGTGAGGGGCACAGCTCAGCCCTGTTCTCACCCTCCCCAGCAGCCCTGTTGTGGCTGGGACAGGCCTGGGCCCCAGGGAGCTGCCCCTGCCCTGGGCCCTGAGACTGAGCTGAGCTGTCACTGCAGCGCCTCAGCCTGGGCAATGGGACCCGCTTAATCAGCATCTCATTTGTGTGCAGAGGCTGCAGCCTCCTGCCCCCCAGCTCTGGCTGCTCCATCCCCAGGGCCAGGCCCAGAGCAGGAGGGTTCAGTGGGGGGGGAGGGGGCAGAGGAGGCAGGTAGCAGCCTTAAACCTCAGAGGGAAACTCCCTCTCCTGCTGCAGCCTCCACCCCCCGCCCAGGGCTCAGAGGGGAGGGGGCAGCGTGGGGAAAGAGCCACCTCACCCCAGAGAGCAGGGCCTGGGCATTAGTCACCCCCAGGGCAGTGAGGCTCAATGGGGGGAGCCCAGCTCTGGCTTCTGATCTGGCCAGGGGCAGGGCCTCTGGGGAAGGGGATCTGGGGTGGGGTCACTGGGAGGGGCCAGCACAGGGCAGAGGCTGGTGCCCAAGGAGGGGCTGTGCTGATCAGCTGCCCCGACACAAAGCGCAGCCCCTGCCTGCAAAGCCCCCTGCCCACAAACTGCACCCATAGTGAGAAGTGGGGGGGGGTCCGACCATCCCATTTCTTAAAGGGGGCAGGACACGGCCCCTCGTCCTTCTGATCCAGTGCCCCTGGGGCTCTAGGATCTGGGGTGGGGCCACTGGGAGGGGCCAGCACAGGGAAGAGTTTGGTGCCCCACATGGGAGGGGGGCTGTGCTGATCAGCTGCCCTGACATGAAGCGCAGCCCCTGCCTGAAAACTGAGCTCATAGTAAGAAGTGGGGGCAGGACATGGCCCCTCGTCCTTCTGATCCAGTGCCCTGGGGCTCCTCACCACTCAGTGGGCAGGTTTTGGGCTCTACCTATCGTGGTCACTGGGGATTTGGTTGGTGACTTGAGCTTCAAGCTCAGGAAGGTGTTTTCAATCTCCACTTGAAACCTCACCCTGTCTGAAAGCTCCTGGGGACTTTCCTCTTGCTGTCTCCAGTGCAGCGGGCAACGTGTCTGGTGAGGGAAGGGAGAAGAGAGCTGAGACTTCAGGAGTTCATATTGCCCATTACATTCCCAATCCTAACGAAGGGTATGTCTACACTACCCCGCTAGTTCGAACTAGCAGGGTAGTGTAGACATACCCACACAGACCTGGTTTTCATTACAGCAGAGACACACTTGGGTGCATCTACACTGCAGAGAAGATTGAGGCTACTGCTGTCAATCTCCCAGGGTTCGAATTAGCGGATGAGTTAAGACAGCTAATCGAACTGAGGGGTGGCATGTGTCGGTGCTGGTAGCCCTCATTGCACGAGGAGTAAGGGAAGTGGGAGGGAGAGTCTCTTCCCTCCACTGCCTGCTGCGTAGACAGCGCCAACAGACGAGTTAAGCTACTTCGACTTCAGCTCTGCATTTAATGCAACTGAAGTTGTGTAGCTTAATTCGACTTTGTCCCACAGTGTAGATGTACCCTGAGGTATTTAATATAAAAGGGTCTGAATCCTCCTACTTTCTCTCTCGCTCAGGCTCTCCCAGCAAAGGAACCAATGTCCCTGCAGCCTCACAGCCAGCCCAGGACAATCTGTGAAGAGATTTGCTTTCTCCACAACATCCCCTCCCTCACTGCAGACTCCACTGGGTTTGGCTCATTCACTTCCTGATGTTTGTCACAGCCTAGGCCCAGATCCTGCAAAGACTTTGGCCTCAAAGTAACTTCCCCCTCTCTTTGACACGAGTGAGAGGTTCAGAATTTGTGAACTCCTGGCTCTACCTGTGAGTCGTGGGGTCTGTGTACTCAGCGTCTCTACAGAGAGCAGCACGGAGCTGGGCGTGTTTCTCTCTGTGTGTCTGCCATTATGTGCTCTAATGTCACTGTCATTACAAAGCGGCTTTTGGAACAGATACGGTTCAATTAATCAACCTGAATGTCTGGGATGACAAGTGGGCGTCATTCTCACCTCACAATTCAACAGGAGCTTCATCTAATTAGGAACCTAATGACCAGCATTGGTCTCTTTCCATGGCCTCAGACACTTCGCTCACTCTCCCCTCCCCCATCCCTTTTCCGTACCTGTGAACTCTCTCAGAGTCTCCGACAGCGCAGTCGTTTGCCAGGAGAAACCCCTGACTCGCTCGTCCAGTTCAGGAGAAATCTCCTCTGGCAGCTGGAACATTCCTCTCTCACATCTGGAGAGAGACAACCTCACATGGTGACACTGCACCGAGTGACTCAGTTCTCCAGCTCTGGCCAGTGAGTCACTGATCTGCTGGGCCTGGAGTTCAAATCCTCCAGTTCTCCCAGCCTGAGAGCAGGGGCAGCGCAGCCCTTGGCCCTGCAACATCCCCTCAAAGGTCCCATTAACAATCTGCAGCTCTGGCCTGGGGAGACCAGCTGGGGGACAAAATGAGAATTGAGTCTCCATGGCCAACTCACTACTTGGCCTCCAGGCACTGAGGGACAGGAGGTTCCCAGGGGAAGGGCTGTAGGAATCTGCCCACTAGGGACTAGACTGAGACACAAGCTACCCCCTCCCCAACCCATTCCCACAGGTCTCCAAACAGCCCTTGGGTGGGAGAGACTCTTGATCCCTGCTGCCCTGGGCTGAATGGTGCCCAGTGCCCAGCAGTGACAAGCCCATGTCCCACCTCACAGCCCTGAGGCAGCCAGTCCCCAGGGAGGTGACACCATCTCCCTCCAGTTCATTCTGTAGATATGTCTCATTGATCTCTGTATTAATCATTTTCTTATTGACATTTTTATTTTAACTTTCTATCAAGTCCTTTTAGCATGGTAATAAGTCTTTAGCTTTGTTGCATTAAATCTTTTTACATAGAAACCTTGTATCTTGTAGATTTTGTACCCCCATTGGTTAATTGATTCACTGTTGAGTGAATGGGGTGTGAATGGATAAGGCATGAAAGACAAGCACCTTGGGGCACTTGCAATGGTTGAAGAGGGGTGGAAGCCAGATCCAAGAACAATGAGAAGAACAACAGGACCCGTGAAGTGAGCTTATTGAAAGAATACTGGACCTATGGAGGCCTTGGGACTCAGCAGCAAATGTCTTGTTTTGGAAGCCCCCTCTCTGAAGGTAAATGGGGCAACATTGAGACACCCCCCCAGAAAAAGGGGCCACAGATGTCTAACTGCATATGCACAATATGACTCTCACAGATGATGCATATGAATGTGATGACTAACTGATGGAGATCTCCAGGAGAGTGAAGACACAATACATCTAAAGCATCTTGCAGAGGGACTCCAAGTTTTTGTCTTGTCAACATGGGAGCATCAATCTGGATCGGCAGAAGCCTGGCTCCACCCCTGCCCCACCTAACTCACCTGGCCATTGCATTTACAGGGAGCAACTATTGGTAACAACAAGATGGAGTGTGTATGTGTGTGTGTGAGAGTGCATGAGTGTAATGTATCCTATGCATATGATAAATACTGATTGATCTATGTATGTTCAAGAAATGTGGCGTGTTGCCTTCTCCTCCTGAAAAAGATCCCAGGTGCTTCTTTTAAGTATAACAATTTAACACAGGTCTCCAAACTGCCCTCGGGTGGGACAGACTCTTGGTTCCTGCTGCTCTGGGCTGAATGTGCCCAGTGTCCAGTAGTGACAGGCCCATGTCTCACCCCACAGCCCTGAGACAGCCAGTCCCCAGGGAGGTGACAGCTCTAGGAAATAGACTAGACTGTGCCCTGAATGGGGAATTCCAGAGTCTGCTGTGAGACCCTAAGGCTGAAGCTGATCAGAGATTTGTGTCCAGTCTGTGACCTTCCCCTCACTTCTGATTGCAGAGCCCTGGGGAGATGTGGTGCTTACATCAGCTCCAAGATCTTTCCTTGTGCTGTGCAGTGTGAGGGGAGCAAGAACCACCTACCTGCTTAGGGTGCTTCTGATGTCCTAGAAAAGAAAAAGACACAGAAAAAAATTTCAGCCCCATTGAACACACACAAGGGGACCTCAAGGAAGGGATTTTGCAAACATGGGAAGAGAGGCCCTGCACTGGCCCCAGGAACATGGATAGCTCATGGATCAGCTCACTGAGACGGGAAATCTGTGTGGAGAGTCTCCTGACAGTGTGAGTCTGGAGCCTACCTATCTCCTCCTCCAGCTTCTCCAGCTGGGCCAGCAGGAGTCGCTCTTGTTCCTCCAGGAACTGCCGCAGCTGCTGAAACTCGGCCACAATCTTCTGCCTCTCGGCTTGTGTCTGTTTCTGTATGAAAACAGGGAAAGGGCTGGTCGGGATCACGGGCAGAGACTAAGAACCTTTAATACCATCTGTGGGTACTAGGCTGAGGCATCCCTCAGTTTCGTCTTTGGCCCCTCTGTCCCTGTGAAAGGGATGATTCCCTGCTTGGAATGGGCAGCATGTTCTGTTACTCATGGGCTCTGGGAATTCAGACCCAGAGCAACAGGGGGCAGGACTCAGCACCAATGTTTTTATTTAATCTTCTCCATCTATGTGCACTGAGGCATATTCAAATGCGCACCACCAGCTGAAACAACATGTAGTTGTAGACATTCTGCTAATCAGCTGGGCAGCTCCTGCATCTCTCCTGAGTTGCCACCCAAACACTCAGTGTACTGGGAACACTGCTCAGCCCCACCCTGACAAAGATACCCAGGGAGAAAACAGAAGCAAACACGTTAATACAAGAAAAGAGCAGAGCCACAAGACAGCCCTTCACAGGGGCATTCAGGTAACTGGGGGAGGATTTCTGGGAAAATCACAAAGGCTGGGCATTCACTCATCCCCTGACATGGAAGCTCAGGGCCTGTCTGCACATGGATCTAACCCAGCAATCTATGGTCATGGAGCAACGTCCTGTCTCACATTCCCAAGGCTGCACACGAGTCTGCCTCCAAACAGACCCTCCCCCTGCCAGTCCATTACTACAGGCACCTACCAGATACTCCTGGCTTCTCCCCTCTCCCGTCGCTTTCCATCCCAGCAGCTTTTCTCTCTCGTCCCTCAGAGTCTTCAAATGGGCCTGGATTTTTTCCTGAGGAGACACAAATGAGCTGGGAGGTTTCATTGTGAGGTCTGAGAGGGGTGTGGAATGGGATGTTTCCCACTCGCCGCCCACGATGACTGCTCCTCCCAATGGCTGTGTGGCATCAGGGCCTGAAGAAGGTGAAATCCTATCAATGCAGACTTAGTTTGTGTCAGATTCTCACTGTTACCTGTTCAGGTTGAGTCTTTTTTATTAATTAGACAGAAATCTCAATTATCACTAGATTTGATTGGTGTGTACGGGTGGACTAGTGGCACAGCATGTAACAGGGCACTGGAGTCACATGGGTGTGAATCAATAAACCTGTTGTAAAGAAGGTTTAACTAACAAATCCAAATTCTATATCAATTTGCCACCTGGATTTAACAATGGTCTAGGAACTCAGCCCTAAGGGCTGGGGGCTGCCCTGGTTGGACAGAGCTGGGCTAAGCACCAGGGCAAACCCCATGAGATGTCAGGAGGCCTTTTATCCGGCTTTACGCTGCACAGTCCCAGTTCTGTGGGGCTCTGTCCCTGCCCGATGGGGACTCAGCCCTGGCCGTGGCTTTGTCTGGTGAGAAAGGGACAGGAGGAGACTGAGGCTGCAGCAGGACACCTGTGAGGGTGGGGGCAGGAGGGGGTGGCACCTCCACACAGCATGACGGAGGTGGGGATGGGCTGACAGAGGCAGGGATAGGCCCACAGAGGCCAACGAATACAGGTGGGGGTGGTCCTGGGCAGGCAGGCGTGGGTATGTCCTGTGCTCTGGGGATACCTCAGTGACCCCCCTAACCAGACATGCAGGTTTGCATAAGGAATGATGGGGGTTTGCCCAGCACTGTCCTAAATACCTGCTGTGGCAATGCCCTCTGGGCGGTACCCGCTGCCCCAGTGCCTGGTCCAGCTCTGGGCAGCAGTGACCTGCTTGGGGCAGGGATTGTCCCCTCACTGCATTTTGTGCAGAGTCCCTAAGGGCTCCTGTGATACAAATAAAAGTAACCAATTCCCTTAAACACCCTTCTGTTAAAAAACAGACACTGTAACTTCCCCATCCGCAGTCACACAGCCCAGCTGGCAGCTCTTCTCATTCACACCTCACTGTTAGCCCCTGCCCTTGTATGCAAAGTTCCCACACTTCCCCAGCAGGGGCTGTGTTGGAAATGGGTTCAGCATCTCAAAGAAAACTTTCCCACAGCTGGTGTCTTTAAAGACTTGGTATTTTGCCTCTGTTGCCCCTGGGCCAGAGCATTTATTTTGTTACAGCCTCTCCTGGGCCAGGCAGGCTTCAGCTGGCTGGTGAGTCGCACTGGGCCAGGGAACAGGGAAATTAGCCAGTAACTAAAACCCAGAATAATTCCCCAGCAGACAGGGCAGCAGTTCCCTACCTTGTACTCCTGGGCAGCCTCCTCCAAAGGAGCCACGATGTGCGCACGGTGCGCCCGGGACTCTCTGCACACCATGCAAATGGGGGCTTGATCCTTCTTGCAGAACAGCTTCAGCGCCTCCTGGTGTGCCCTGCACACACCTCCTTCACCCACTCCGCTTGCTGCCGGCAGGCTCAGCTGTTTGACTAATTCTACCATGTTCGCCAGCTGCCTGTTGGGCCGGAGGGGTCCCTGCTGCACCTGGTCCCTGCACTGAGGGCAGGAGGTGGCTGGGCCGGGTCCCTCCCAGCACTGGCTGATGCAGGCACGGCAGAAATTGTGCCCACAGGCTGTGACCACCGGGTCCGTGAAATACTCCAGGCAGAGGGGGCACGTGGCTTCCTCCCGGAGACTTTCCACGGGGCTCGCTGTGGCCATGGCCCCTCCGGGCCAGGTGCTCCCAGGGGCAGCTTCAATGTTCCATCCTGCCTCCATCAACAACTGGCTTCTCCCGGCCTGGAGTTGGCTCTGGCTGCTCTGGAAATTGCAGCCTGGGAACGTTTAGTGAGCAATGTCCCGCCAGGGCTCTGGCTCTACCCTCCGCCCTAGGGTTGGTGGGGAGGGTCCCTGGGGCGTCACATCGATAGCAGCACCCTCCTCCCCATGAGCATGCAGGAGGAGGGGCTGTGGACAAGGAGTGACAGTCAGACTGGCAGAATTTTCTTTTATGAATACAAAATGTTGGCATGTTTATTTTAAGCAATTTTGTACTTATTAGTCATTCACATTTTTACAGCTGCATGAAAATATGAGTTTGAAGCATTCAATACATGTTTATCCATTTACATTTTTTTTGGTGGGAGATCATGGGAGGGGGGGGATCAGAAGCTATTTTGATCAGACAATAATGATTTCATGAGAAGAGGGAGAGATTGCAAAAGCCAAAGCTTTATAACCATTAACATGCAGACTGTCCACAGCACATGTCTAGATAAGCAAAGTGAATATTTGCAAATCAAAGTCTATTAAGTTCTTACAAACATTGCTCATAACTGTGCCCCTTGGTACATTTTAATGATTGACAATGGGAGTATTTTCATGGTTGGGGTGTGTGGAGTGAAATCAATATTTAGAGGTACCTACTGATACAGACAGATACCTCCATGTCTAAATATATAAAATTCAAAGGCTAAAGCCTTGGTTAAGATGGTTTCAGTGTTTCAAAGGCACAATTCTTATGTGCACTAAGGCTGCTCTGGCTCTCTGTACAGGAGCCACAATATCACCAACACTAATGATTCTATAATGGGTCTTATGATAATTGGTGTTTGTTAAAACCCCAGCTCCCAGAAGCCTGTGATGAAGTGAGACTCTTGGGTTCTGTCTCTTAGACAAAGGAAGTTTCCCTATTGTATAATACGTATGTATGTGTGTGATCTGAGTGCAAGCTGATAGTCTGAGAAGGCAGAGGGTGACTAGAAAGAACCCAACATTTATTATTTTACGTTAAGGCTCATGATTAGGACAATCTCATGCTTTCAGGGCTCCTGACTCAGGCGCTATAGAAGTTGGGAGCTGGCCAGACTGTGACTCTGTAGCCGCTGCCCAGGGACAGGCACCAGATCCAATCCCTTCACTGATCCAAACAGCCCAGGGGTCTCCATGTGCAGCTACCTGCAGGCACAGCTCCTGCTGCCCCCATTGGCCACAGAGCACTCAGGGTGGGGGCCATGGAAGAAGCCTCTCTCCCCCCTCTCTTGCCATGGGGCTGCAGGGATGTGCCAGCAGCTGCACATGGAGGCTGTGTCCAGACTCCATGCCTCCGTCGACGGAGGCATGTAGATTAGCCAGCTCAGGTGAAGTTGTGGGGGTGGGTGAGAGGGTGAGGCAGGACGGAGAGACCTGGCCCTGAATTTTGCTGGAGCCAGTCTTTGGCCAGGGTATTGCCTGGAGCCTGGGCACCAAGGGGCCTGTAGTAGTTCGAGTCAGTGGGAACACTGCTAACTCCCAGGACTTTCCAAGTCTGGAGTCTTGGGAGCCTAACGGCCGACCAATTAAGAAGTCTCGTGACCCACCTGGGTCCAGGTCTGGGCGATAATTAGCAGTAAATAGTGAGCCAGTGAGCTGCAGAATATTTGGCGAGCCTTGGCCCTGGGCAAAGCAAGATACAAGAAGTCAAATACGCAGGCTGTGTCTACACTGGCGTGATCTCACGCAAAAGCACCCGCTCTTGCACAAATACTTGCTGCCTGTCTACACTGGCCGCGTGTTCTTGCACAAGTAAACTGACATTCTAATGTATGAAATCAGGGCTTCTTGTGCGAGAACTCTGATGCTCCCGCTCAGGAATAAGCCCTCTTGCACAAGAGCTCTTCCAGAAGAGGCCAATGTAGACAGGCAACATGAATTTCTTGCGCAAGACAGCCCTATGGTTAGAATGGCCATCAGAGCTTTCTTGCTCAAGAGAGCATCCACACTGGCAGGGGTGCTCTTGCGCAAAAGCACAGCTCACACGTGGCAGTGTGGACATTTTCTCGCGCAAAACTTCTTGAACAAGAACCCTTGCGCAAGATATTCTTGCGCAAGAAGCTGCCAGTGTAGACATAGCCTCAATGGTGCAGGCCTGATCACAGGCAGCACCAGGGGCCAGATCTCCTTCCAAGTGGAGAGCCAACAAGCACAGGGGGTTTGCCCCACAGGGGGTATCTGCCACTCAAGGAAAGGGGTGGCGGGGGGGAGGGGCTGGCCCTGCCTACTCCATTACGTCCCAGCCCAGAGCCCTAGTAGTGGTGCGTAGCCACCACTGGCGTCCTGGTCAGTGGGATTCCTGGCCATAACATGCTGCCCAACCAACCTTCATTTCCTTAGCTGCCTCAAGGTCGGCTGTTCCTGGGCCACTTTCCAGTTCCCCCTGGGGGCCTACCTGGTCTGGAGGCCACTCGCTGGCCTTAGGCAAAGACAACAGCTGTGTCAGTGTCCATGGGCTCAGGGTCTGGATCTGTTACCTGCTCAGGTGGTCTGGCCCACTCGGCTGGGTCCTGAAGACCATCTGAGGGTCCGGGTTGCAGGTGGGTACCAGTGGTGGCTAGGGTTGCCAGGTGTCCAGTATTGTACCAGAAAATCTGGTATTTGCACGCTCTGTCCAGTAAAAAAAAATCAGAAAATACCCAACACGTGCAATGTCCGGTATTTTCTGATTTTTCCAGTTGCGCAGTGGACAGAAGCCTGGCATGGGCAGGGGGAGCGGCTGGGAGTCCCAGCTGGGAGGCAGGGCCACGATTGCTGCTGGGAGCCCTCAGTTGATTGAGTGTGAGGAGGAGGGGAAGCTTCCTCCTTGCTCGTGCGTCTCTGGCAGCCTGTGTGGGACAAGCAGCAAGTGCCCAGGTCAGTCCC